GCCATTTATCTCTCTGCCCTTCAGTTAATCCCACTTGTGTTTACTGGCCAGGCTGACACAATAAACTATTTCAAAAGGTTATACTGAAAAACAACAAAATGATTGTGCTACAGACATGTGCAACAAGAAGCATGGTTGAATCTCACAATTATGTTGAGCAAGAGAAATGAGTTGAAAGAGAATGTACCGTATGATTCTGTTTATATAAGGCTCAAACCCGTGCAAAACTCAACAATAGTGTTGGGAGTAAGGAACGTGTGTAACTTTGGGGAGGTTAAAATTTTAACACTTTTATAAAAAATTTAAATATTTGCAGTTGAAGTTTTACCTGCTAATTTAGTAAGGATTCAAATATGCATGTGACCTTTCTTTTTAAGAGCTGTGTTCTAGAAGGGCTTCAAAAAGTTAGAAGAAGGGGTTCATGATCTTTTAATTCCATTTTCCACAAACTTTCTGGAACCCCTTCCTATTTCTTAGACCTATTTGCACTGGTTTTTGGTTTTTTTTTCTTTAAATCCTTGTATTGGGGGCTCTCACAGCTCTTATTACAATCCATACATCCATCCATTGTGTTCAAGCACATTGCCATCATCATTTTCAAAACATTTTCTTTCTACTTAAGCCCTTGGTATCAGCTTATTTCCAACCCCCTCCTCCCTCATGAACCCTTGATAATTTATAATTATTATTTTTTAAATATCTTATGCCAACTGCTGTCTCCATCCACTTTTCTGTTGTTCATCCACTTGGGAGGGGGTTGTATGTCAATCATGGTGATCGGTTTGCCCCTCTCTCCCCCTACTTCTCCCTTCCCCTCCTGGTATCTCTGTTTCCTTATTGGTCCTGAGCGGTTTATCCAACCTGGATTCCCTGTGTTTTGAGCTCTTGTCTGTATAAGTGTACATACTCTGGTCTAGCCAGATTTGAAAGGTAGAATTGGGGTCATGATCATGTGGGGAGGAAGCATTAAAGAACTAGAGGAACGTTGTATGTTTCATTAGTCCTATACTACACCATTTGTAGTGTTTTGTAATTGATAAACTCTTAGGTGAATAATGTTTCTCGTGTGTACGTATTTGTATCTTGTTTTTTGCCTTTGTTATTATTCTCGTTAATTGTCATCAAGCCAGTTCTGACTCTTGGCAACCCTGTGTACAACAGAACAAAACATTGCTTGAGCACTAGGTGTCAAGTCTTCCTCAGGCATTTGGTTTCTTTTATTATTCCAGGTGTGGAGAGGTTATTCCCAAAAGAGAACAGTTTAATGACCTGTCCATCGACCTTCCTCGAAGGAGAAAGCCACTCCCTCCTCGATCAATTCAAGATTCTCTGGATCTTTTCTTTAGGGTAAATAAAAACTTTGCATTTTTTACATAATTGTGTTTATGTTAATAATATTCAAAGTTGGTTTCACCAAAGCAGAGCTTCAACCAATGTATTTAGAAGAATTTGGAGCAATGCTTATAAATAATGTTTGTTTTTAAAGTTTGATAACCAATTGTTAACTCAAGAAAATTAGCTGCTTACATAGATTGTACATTTAGCTCAATAGCGAGTGTTTTAAAGAAACTTAGCAGTTCATTTTTTAGTATTAATTTAGTGCATATGAAATGACACATTTTTTTTTTTTTTAGTCAGTGAGACAGTAAGAGAGTGAGCCAGGGAGTGAGTTAGACATTGAGAGTGTGTGTCAGTGAATGAGAGTGAGGCAGTGAGCGAGTGAGAGAGTGAGTGTGTCAGTGAATGAGAGTGGGACAGTGAGCGAGTGAGCCAGTGAGTGAGGCAGAGAGCAAGTGAGTGAGAGAGAGAGGCACTGAGTGAGTCAGGGCGTGAGTTAGACATTGAGTGACTGAGACAGGGAGAAAGTGAGAGTGGGACAGGGAGTGAGTGAGTGACTGAGACAGTGAGAGAGTGAGGCAGTGAGTGAATGAGAGTGAGTTAGACAGGGAGCGAGTGAGACAGTAAGAGAGTGAGAGAGAGAAAGTGAGTGTGAGTGGGACAGGGAGTGAGTGAGTCAGTGAGCAAGTGAGACGGAGCGAGTGAAGCAGTGAGAGAGTGTGTCAGTGAATGAGAGTGAGATGGAGTGAGTGAGAGAGAGAGGGAGTGTGTCAGTGACTGAGACAGTAGAGAGTGAGCGAGTGAAACAGTGAGTGAGGCAATGAGTGAGTGAGTGGGAGTGAGACAGTAAAAGAGTGAGCAAGTGAGGCAGTGAGCGGCAGTGACAGTGAGACAGAGAGCAAGTGAGTGAGAGAGAGAGGCACTGAGTGAGACAGGGAGAAAGTGAGGGAGTGAGTCAGTGAGCGAGTGAGACAGTGTCAGTGAATGAGCGTGAGACAGGGAGTGAGTTAGACAATGAGAGTGAGACAGGGAGAGAGTCGAAATGACACGTTTTAAGCTCTTATAATGTGAATTAAAATTGGAGACAATGTACAAGTTTGTATATTAAGTTCAGAGCAGTGAAAAAATACTCTTTGGGAAGATTCATGATCTTTAAGAACTGTAGAAAATATTGTGTCTGATTTTTAGAATCTGGGACAGGCCTCACATACTGGAAATTTGCCAAGATCCCCTGATTTTCTATATAATAGGGTCATCATTTTGTTGTAGCAATTTATTAGGATTGTCTTTCTAAAGCTAAAACTTTATTTTCTGGTGGGGAGGGAGTGGGGGGAAAGAGAAGTTGATACCAAGGGCTCAATAGAAAGTAATTGTCTAGAAAAGAATGATGGTAACATGTACAAATATGCCTGATACAATTGATATATGGATTGTAATAAGAGTTGTAAGAACCCTAAGAAAATGATTTTAATAAGAATAATACTTTAAGAAAATAAAGATCTGCCTTATTCTTAAAAAATAAACCAACTTTATTTGTGATGAGCATTCTACTCCACCCAATGAAAATTACCTTGCTTTCTTTTTATTTTACTTACTCTTCAGTATTCCTGTAACTATTTTTTTTCCTGTTACTATCTTATAGCATTTTTAAGCTTTACTCCCCCCCCCCCTTTTTTTTTAAAGTGGATTTCTTGCCTCGGTTTTCTCTAGGTAATGCTATCTTCCCCAACCTTTGATCCTTGTAGAGCAGTTATTCTTAGCCCTCACCAAAAGACTGAGTTCCATTGTAAAGAGAAGGGTAGAATTACACCTAACAGACCAGGAACTTCATCTAACCTTAAGGAGATCTTATTTCTACTGTGGCTATGTGTCAGAATCTGGAGGTACTCTTGGCAGTGGTCTGTGTCTAGTCATGGGGCAAAAGGTTCAGAATCTACTGCTGGAGAGTCTGATTCTGTCATAAATTGAGGTACTACTTTGATTTTTTTTTTTTTAAGGAAATGAGGAATTCTAAAATAGGATGTAGTAGTAGCTATGTTGAAGATTGGATCTTAATTTAGTAAGGTTTGTGATTCTGGACACAATTTAAACTGGATCAGAGTTGTCATTCCACTAAACTAGTTAGGTTAGAAAACAAATTACTTGGAGTGGCGGGGCGGGGAATGTTGATTCAGTGTCCTACTACGCTGTTTTCCCTCTGCTCTTTAGGCAGAAGAACTAGAGTATTCCTGTGAGAAATGTGGGGGGAAGTGTGCTCTTGTCCGGCACAAATTTAACAGGCTGCCCAGGTAAGTCTCTTCAACTTTTCTTCTTTAAAGTATATAAGAACATTACTGAAAAAGTAGAGTTTACCATAATGGAGTGATAAAGAAGGTCTGAAAGAGGGTAGAGGGCTAGAATGTTCTTACCCAAGAAGGGAAGAGGGTTTGGGATGCTGTCTTAATTACATAGTGCACTGTGACCAAAATGCCACCAACAAGGGACTCTGAAGAACAGAAATTTATTTTCTCACAGTTCTGGAAACTTAGAAGACCAAATGGAGGTCTCAACCTTGTCAGTTCCTTCCATATACGTAGCCCTGGTCATTTCTCATAGATAAGCCTCACTTGTTCTCTCCCCTTATATGTATGTCTGTTTATTCTGATGTTTTTAATAACTCAGCAGTGATGAGGCTTAGGGGGACACCCTATATATCAGTACGGTCTGTATTGAGATCATGGTACATTACATTTTGGAAGGTAATCTGTTCTATCCAAGACCAGCTAATATAATATATGTAACATTATTTCATGACAGCAACCCAGACCAGTGTTTGATTCAAACAACTGGAAACCACAGACTAGCCAATTTGATGCAAAAAATTAATCATCAAAGATGTTAAAATTTAGCAGAAATTTTGGGAATCCCAAGAAGATGACAACAATCCTTCTTCTAAAAAAGAATAGGCTGGGTGAAGCATTAGAATTTTAATTCAGTATGTATAATATTTAGTAGTAATTTATCCACTTTATCCCAAACTTTTAAAGTCTGCTATGGCCACATACATAGGAAGGGGCTTAAAAACTTCATGGAAAAATGAAATTCAAAGATAATAGAATTTTCCCACAAACTTTCTGAAGCCTCTTAAATGTTTGCCTGAACATAAAATTTTTTTTGCAATTTGGGCATTCATTTATTCAGTACATCATAGAGTGTGTTGGTAAGCTAGTCAGTTTCCTATAAATATAAGATTTTTTTTTGAATTAAAAATGTCATTAACTTTTGTTTTACAGCTATATAAATAAAAGTAAAACCAAGCTATGAAAAATTATGCATATGTGATTATAGGACAGCTTTTAGCCTTTTCCAAGAATAGGTCTCAACCACAAGTTAGGTTATTAACATTAAGTATTTATATGGCATTTTGCCTGCAGAGTGCTTTGCTTTTATTAGTGGCAAATTTCTTTGCGTAAGTCTGTAGCTTCTGAACCTAGCCCCTGGAGACTGGTAGGTCTTTGACATTCCATAATCCACTCCTTCAAGAAAATGAGGTTTCAAAGAAGTGTTTCTGACTCTTGACACTGTTACTGTGTTGACCATACCTATATGTCTTTGACTTCAGATAGTTTGTCCTTTTTGACTTGTGAGTGTTATGGGACTGTTTTGAGGTAAGAAGATAATGGGGAGAAGTCTTATGGCAAAGGATTGGTTGTTAGAATCTGTCATTGATAAGAAACCAGTGCATAATTAAAAAGACTTGTTTGACTTGGCAAGCTGGAATTCTCTTTACCTGTCCATTCTGTTTGATCTTTCAAATTCTTGGAGTTCGGGTTTGTTTTTTTTAACTTGTTTTTCTTCAGTAGATTGTTTTTGTTAGAAGAGGTTAATTTATTCTAAAATTAAATGAAATAGAAACCTCTCTGTCTTAATGATTAGACTGCTTTGTTTTTGTTCATTTTAATACCGATAGCCTGTCTACTTTTATCCTTGAAGGGCCTGGTATCTTTATCCATTGTTTACACTTGTCATCAGCCGTTTCTTAGCAGATGCACTGTTTTGAAGTATTTATGTGTGTCACATTGCTCTTCATTTTGGTTAAGATTTATGAACTTTGAAATCAGAATACCATTGTGTTTTAGTCTCTTCTTATAATTTGGATCCATGTATTTCTTTTGTTGTGTTGTGAATTTGAGGACTGAATTATAGCATACTTTTAAAAAGAGAAATAAGAATACTTAGTAACTCTAGCTTGCAAATTTTTGAGTTTGTGCCTGTGATGAAGGTATTTGTGGTAACAGTGGAAGCAGTTTTCCATACAACAGGCTTTTGGGGGGGACCTAGAACTGATGTTCCTTCCCATCATTTTTAAAGGGAATTTTTTAAGTGTTCTTGTGGGCTGTGAAATATACTTGGTCCATCAGGCGGAGATTATGTTCTGTACCAGAGGTGAAAAGGTTATCTACTGTAACAGAAACCAGAGGCAATTAGCCTGTCCAAAGAGTTAAAATTTTTTCAGATTGGCAGGCAAATTATGACACAATATTTTTCTAGATGGGAATTTTTTTTTCCATTTCCTCTTAGTTTTTTGGGGTTTTGTTTGTTTTCAAATAAACTCCTGCTGAAATGAGAAGAGTTCTTATCAAAAATCATATTGAAGCCATGTTCACCAGCAAACTTGATGACTTTGGAACATTTTAACTTAGTAGGTCAGTTAAAGTTTATTTTGCCAACCTGGGCAATAAACACATGTGGGGTTAATTGAAGGGTGGAGAGACAAATGGCTCAGTGAGCCACGCCTTTCGAGTTCTTGGGTCTCTTGCTTTGTGATGGTCGGACCAGGGTGCAGCTGCCTTAGCCAGTTCCCTGCTTCCGCTGGCAAGCCTCACTTCCTGCGTGACATCCCCAAGGAGAAGCCACATGGGCCATTTGGAGACCCCTGCCAGTGCTGAGATGCTTACACGTTCACTGATTCAGCTTTCCTCCTGCAGTCGATGTCATAGTGTGTGTTTTGTGAGATGGAGGAGGACTTTGTGGATTGGTGTTGGACATATGGGTTACTGGATTAATGTTGGACTTGTGGGCTTGGGCAGCACTGGGTTGGGTGTTTTCTTGATGTGCACTTAACCGTTATATAAAACGCTCTTATACGTGAGTTTCTGTGGATTTGTTTCTCTAAAGTACCCAGGCTAATACAGTAGATAATATTTTGTCATTAGCGAGTGTAACTTGTTTTCTAATTTTTAAAAATCTATGTAACACTGAAGTGAACATTTTAAGGATTTAGCCTACTATCAAAATCAGCGTTGAAAATTTTTACATTCTCCTCTGTATGTTGTATTAGGTATTTTGTTTTCTAGGAGCTTTAGAAGTATCTTATCCAAACTTTATAAATTCACTCAATACTGTACCTGTGTCACTGTACCTGTGTTGTATTTATATTTGTATATTTTATACATAAAAACAATGCCTGCCAATGCCAAATGTTCAGTAAGTGTTGTCTGAAGAACTTTCATTTGGCCAAATACATTCTTTAAATCAGTTATCTAATCGAGTAGAATATTACCTCTAGTGAATTAGTAATACCCCATCCCTTCTTGTTTTACAGGGTCCTCATTCTTCATTTGAAACGATACAGCTTTAATGTGGCTCTCTCGGTTAACAACAAGATCGGACAGCAAGTCATCATTCCAAGATACCTGACCCTGTCATCTCATTGCACCGAAAATACCAAACCCCCCTTTACCCTTGGTTGGAGTGCACATATGGCAGTGTAAGTTCTGTGCAAGGACTTCCTTTTCTTCTGTTTTGAAGTAGAAAGGTGCTGGTGCCCAGTTAAAAGAATGAACCTGAGAATGTAACTCCCAGGTGAAATCAAGCCAGGAAGGAGATATCAGTTTTGTTCTATTTGGGAGTTTGCATGTAAAATTACTTTACTATGCATTTATTGAAAACGATGCTTAAACAAGGTTCTTGCCACTTTGGTTGCTGCCCTTCATAATGAGATGACTTTTAGGGGAGTGCCTCCATTCTGTTAGATGACTATTTGATATGTTCTGGGACTATAAACTACTCACATGATCATAAGAAGCACCTGGACCTGAAAAATAAGTAATTTGTGTTCTTCCCCTAATAATTTCTGTAGATTTGAAGTAAAGCTGAGGCATTTATATTTCTAACAAATGTCTTCTGTGGACTCAAAACTCACTGGCATAGAATCAGTTCCAACTCATAGTGACCCTATAGGACAGAAAAACTGAGATACACTGTACTAAATATGTTGGGACACCAAAAAACTAGTTGCATCTTAATAAATATATTATCACCACTGTGAAGAACTGCAATAGCTCCTAGAACATTCTTTTCTTTTTTCCTAGAACATTCTTAAGAAGTTAAGAACTGAAGAGGTGAAAGATTATAGAGATTTTGTCCAAATCCTTAATTTTGTAGCGTTTTGGTGGTTTGCTTGAGGTCAGCGCCAGGTCTCATGGCTAAAGTGGAATAACAGACATTTCAGAAAGTAAATGAACATATGCCAAAAAAGGACTGATGCAGTGTTGTAAAATGTTTTTCCCTAGGATTTTTAATTTATAATTGAAACCAAGAAACAAAACTAAACTCACTTACTTCAAGTCAATGCTTATAGCGACACTATAGGACAGAGTAGAACTGCTCCTGTGAGTTTCCAAGACTGAAAAACTTTTTTTTTTTTTTAAATCATTTTATTGGGGCTGACTGTAATTCTTTACGGATGTAGAAAGCCCCATCTTTCTCCCTTGGAGTGGCTGGTGGTTTGGAACTCCTGACTATGGTTAGCAGCCCAACACAGAACCAATATATCACCAGGGCTCTTCTTTATAATTGAAATATATCCTATATTATATTTACATACATTGAAATATATCCTCAATAATACATGTTTATACTATTGGCCTGAATGTGTCTACTAATAAAGGCATGCCCTAGTACTTATTTTTGAGTTTTCTCTTAAAGCTGTTTTTTGGAATGGGGTTTTTCCCTTGATGTAGACTGCCCTCTGCTGGTAGAGATACCATTACTCTTTCTGGCAGTTGAGCCTAGCTGCATTCAGATCCCAACTACCACTTGATAGCTGTAAAACCTTGAACAAATTCCTTGGCTTGTCTGTGGGGAAACTATTAGGGTGTTTGTGAGCCTCGAATTAAGTAGTTGTAGGTATAGAGTTCTTAGAACAGTGCCTGACATCTGGCAAGTTCTCAATAAATGAGAGCTATTATATTGCTTAAGCGTAAAGAACTGAGGCAAGATCATTTCCCCCAAATTATTCTTTTCATATGCATAATATTTGACTTTTTTTCCAATGCTTTTAATCTGATTGATCAAGAAGTATGTATATAGAATTGACTTTTTTCTCTAGACGGCTCCTTTTAATAGTTTAAAGAAGTGAAATTGCCTTTTTTTTTTTAAAGAAATATTAAGGATTATAGCATAGCATGATTCTGTTTAAAAGTTAAACAGTGTTTTTATTAATATAAATTGTGTACAGTGTGTATATTTTTAATTTTCTAATAGTTCTAGACCATTGAAAGCCTCTCAAATGGTGAATTCCTGCAACACCAGCCCTTCAACACCTTCAAAGTGAGTTATATTTCTTGTGTGCCCCCATTTTGTATTTTTAGGGGTTTGCCTTACCTTAATCTCCAAGACTTTTCCCTCTTTTTCTTTATTGTTCCTCTGTTTTGCATGACAACTTCTCTGTACTTCCTATACTTTGGAACTTTCTTGAGTCTGGTTTAGATTAGGGTATAACAAGTTTTTAACAGAGGAGCAAGTTCAAATGATCAGCTCAAAATTCTGTTGTCCAACTTTATACTACTTTTGTACTGATTTTCATAATATAAAATTTACATCCTGAAACTAAAAACTGACTCTTGATAAGATATTTTAAAGATTGAAGTGGTAAAATAGCCCCGATCAGTGAAAGTATCCTTCCTCAAAGACAGGCATGCAGACTTCAAAATATTGCTTTACCTGTTGCTAGCCAGTTTTGCACTTCTTGACTTAGACTCTGAATTAGAGGTATTCTGAAAGGGGACAGGAAAATAAGCACACACTAATGTAGCTACTCCATAATGTTTTCTATTTTCTGCTTAAGACCAAGGTTGTCGAAGGAGGGAAGCACATGCTTTTGTAATACACCTCCTCTAAGATTTCACCGGACACACGGTTCCTGATCAAACTCTTCTAAATGACCTAAAGTTTGTTTTTCTAAATAAATGTTACTGTCCCAAAGTACTTTCATCAAAGAGACACTTGTTGTTTAAGGGCTTTGTGGGGAGGGAGATTTATATAACCATAAAATGACATTTGGGAACTGCTATTCTCTTTTCCTCCTGTTAATTATTTTTCAGTGCAATTAAAACCAGATGACTAACATGACTAGAAATCTGAAATGGTACCGATATGAATACTCTTGCCCGTTCTCAAGATACAAATGAGCAATTCCACTTGGCTGCTTAGAGAGTAAGCAAGTGATGCATTTACAGGATGAATATTTTTCATTGCTACAGGCAAGCTGCCTTCTGTGAATATAGTAATTATTAATGGAATGCACTCTTTATGTACCAAATCACTAAAGTTGCAAGAAAGAGATGGTTTCATTGGGCATCATTGTACCTTGGCATGGTCATCTGTTTTCAGGGTCTACTGGTATGAGAATTGGAGTGTTGGTCAATAAAGGATGATTAGGCCCTAGAAGACCTGTCATGCCGATCAAACTTAAAAGAGGCTGAGTTATGAACCAGAAAGAATACCATTGGTTCTTCTACATTGTCCTTTGTCTCATTTGACCCTGGTACAATAGTGGCCAGGTGTCACTCTCCTTACCTGGATAAACATATTACTGTGTTAAGGTTGACTTGGTGAGCATGTAATGGGAGGGAGAGGGGGTGATTAGATGACTGATTGGCCTTTTCTAAGTTCTATGAAAAACCTTTTTGAGCATGTCCTGGAAGGCTATTCAAGTGTTCTGGCTGCACTACAGTGCCATCCTGGCTGCTCTCAGCCACATATTCAGTTGGGGCTGACTTGCTGACTGCTTGCCTCTTTTCTTTGATCTCCATTGCTGTGCAATCCTCCTGATTTCCATTGCAGCCTCTTATTTCTTGATGCCATCATTCTATATGTTTATTTAGTTTTCACATTTTAGGTTAATCACATTCTTCCAGCTTCCATTTAACATTGATTTTATTAGCATAGTGTATGAATTTGTTACCCTTCATCAAAGAAATTTCTTCTTTGACCTTTACCACTTTTTCCTTTGATTTATTTTTGAACTCGTGGATAAGAAAACACAGTAACACCTTACTTATCTGGTCTTATTGAAGAGTGATAGTAGGTTTTCCACTTAAGTAAATTTTCATAAAACTAAAGCTTGACTTTCAAGGATTACAACATCTTTTTAAAATTCTTTTTTAATTGTAACTATTTTAGATAGAAATTCTAAGATGGTACATCATTCCTTATATTCTTAAATAAAATCCATGGAAGATCATTTAAGTATGTCTTAATGATTTAGAATTAGCATTGTCAGAATCTGTTATATTGTACTGTTTTAATGTAATGCCCTCAGGGGCTCTTAATTCTTACAAGGCAGAGTGCCTTCACATTAAATGATTTTATAGTTCTCTTTTGCCCTTTTTGATTGTTATCCTCTTCCATTTCTTAGCTCTCATTTTTTATGAACTTACATATGATTTCCTAGGGCAAGGGGGGGGCGCTCTATCTAAAATGTTAAATGCATGGGCTTTGGAACTGCTGCCTTCCTCAGAAGCCTTCTTGCTTTGGACTCCCTGTGTTTTGAAAGGTAGTGGTTGTCACAAGTCTGACCTACAGATAAGTCGATAAGTGGAATGTTACTGTTATTTTTAAGTGCATGGATCATAACTTTAAAATTTTGAAATTAGTCCTTATGCACTTTGTTGTCAAGAACATTTATTCATTGCTATGTCTGCATGAATTCAGTAGAGTTACTTGTCTTATGAAGACAATAGCAAACCTCATTGGGTTTGAGCATTAAAAGGGGGAAAAAGGCACAGCGTGGTTGGTTTATTGATATATCATGGCATAAGAGCTATCCAATTTTCCAAAGCATGGCTCTTTTAGAGTGGGGTAAAGGTAATGCTTACATATACCTCCTTTGATATATCTTTTAGCTCTATTAAATTCTTTTCCATATTGGAAAATTTTGTTTTGCTTTGCTTTCATATTTATACATCAAAAGAATAACGAGACTAAATGGTTGTTTGTCAGACTTATACAGGTTGTGTTTCCCCCCCACTTAATTACAGGAAATTTACCTTCAAATCCAAGAGTTCCCTGGCTTTATGCCTTGATTCAGACAGTGAAGATGAACTGAAACGCACTGTGGCCCTCAGCCAGAGGCTTTGTGAAATGTCAGGCAATGAGCACCAGCAGGAAGACCTAGAAAAAGTAAGCACTTGCTCATCAAAATTTCTGACAAATATTTATGTAGCTCTTAATATTCAAACAAATACCCTTCCTAACTAGCATCAGCAAATTTAATACATAAGGTAGATCATAAACTTAATGGATCTCGTCACTAAGCTTAAAGACTTTTTTCCAGCTACAAAAATATTTTTTTTGCAGATGAAGCTAGATTATTAAGAAATGAAAGCTGCTCCAGACAAATTTCACTTTCTCTCTTTTCTTTTTTTTTAAACTTATTCACCATCAGAACTACCTCTGTATATTGGACCTCAAATGACTACTCCCTTGATTTTGGAACTAATTGTTATTTATGTAGAGGAGCCAGAAGGAACGTATTGCACCAACAGACCAACCAAGCAACCTAATGTTTCAAGTTCTAAATGGCTGCTTCTTTCTTGACCCAAAGTGATAGCTAACAGTTTATAGAGAATTGATATTTTTTAGGAGTGTACCTGGCCTCACGAGTCTGTTTTATATCTGCCTTTGGTAAGATTAGAGGAGTCCTGGCAGTGTGGTGGTTATGTGTTGAGCTGCTAACCACAAGGTCAGAAGTTTGAAACCACCAGCCAGCTCTGTGGAGGAAAGATGAGGCTTTCTACTCCCGTAAAGTTAATCTTGGAAACTGATGGGGCAGTTCTTCCCTGTCCTATAGAGTCGTTATGAGAGATCATCTCATTGGTAGTGAGTTTGGTTTTTGATAAGGATTATTTTAGTAGTTTCCTGTTTTACCTGGTTTCTCATCTTCCTTTCAAAGCTAGAGGCAGTGTGTGGTTGCCTGTGAAAGAGATGTTCACTCTAAACGAAAAAGGAAAGTCAGAATTCTCCCCAGAAGTGGGAATTATTCAGAAAGTCACTTGTAGATAATTATATTTTCATAATGTGTTTTCTTTTTCTGATTTATCTTTTGTAAATTAGTAAGAACTTTCAGCACTGAAAATATTAACAGTATAATCCACTTATGTCTAGAAGAGAATGCACCAGAAATACAATGTTTGTCTCTGAATGAGGAGCTTTAAGGTGGACTTACTGGTTTACTTTTTATGTACTTTCCAAACTTTCTGCAAAGAGTGTATTTAGCAACTAATATAATATTATCAAGAAAAATAAATGTACCTTATGTAGTGCTTATTTGAAAAATATCAGGTTAACCAGTGGTTGTTAAATTGATTATGTAATCCATCGCATCAAAGAAAGGAAACTTTTTTTTTAATTAGATACTTTTTATTGGGGGCTTTTACATCTCATCACAATTCATACATTCATCCAGTGTATCAAGTGTATTTGCACATATGCCACCATCATCATCATTTTCAAAGTATTCTCTTCCCACTTGAGCCCCTGATATCAGCTCCCCATTTCTTCCCCCTCTCCACCCGCCCGCCCTCACAAATCCTTGATAAGTTATAGATGATTATTATTTTCATATCTTACATCATCTGCCATCACTCACTTTTCCATTGTTTGTCCCCTTGAGAGGGGGTTATAGATTGATCCTTGTTATCGATTCCCCGAAAGGAAACTTTTAAAACGTAAACATCCACTTTAAACTCATTAATATTACTGTATCTGTAACCATTCTAGTTTCCTCTAAATAACTCTCTTCTTCAGGATTCAAAATTAAGCAGACTCGAGCCCTATAAAGCTGAATTGGAAAACTCAGGATTCGAAGAAATGAGTGAAGAAGAGCTTGTAGCGGCTGTCTTAGAGATAAGTAAGAGGGACTCTTCACCAACTTTGAGTCATGAAGATTATGAGAAACCAACCAGCAGCCCAGATACTGGATTTGCAGAGGATGATATTCAAGACATGCCTGAAAACCCAGAACCTGTGGAAACCGAGAAACCCAAATTAATCACAGAGGCAGGTAAGTTTAAGAAATACAAGGGGTGGGGTGGGGGAAATGAGCTAATACCAAGGGCTCAAGTAGAAGGAAAATGCTTTGAAAATGATGGTGATAACAAATGTACAAATGTGCTTGACACAATGGATGTTTGGATGGATGGATTGTAATAAGAGTTGTACAAGCCCCCAATAAAATGATTTATAAAAAAGAAAAGAAATAGAAAGTTATTAAACAACTCATAATTGTCCTAAACCTTATAGTGTCAAATCACTTCTAGATAATATATCTTATCTAAGTAGATGCCAACTAGTCAACTCCAACTTGAGGTGACCTTATGCACAACATGAAATTGTTACCTGCTCCTGTATCACCTTCATTTTGCTGTCAGTTGCAGCTTTTGTGCCAGCGCTCCGCAGACTCCCCCCTCACCGTTGTTGCCCCTGTACTTCACCAAGCATGGCATCTTTTTACAGTAATTGGTTTGTCCTGGTGCTGTGTCCAGAGCAAGCAGGTTGGACAGTGTTCTGTTGTGATCTGTGAACTTTCATTGACTAATAATTCTCAGAAGTAGATCTCCACGCCTTTCTTATTACTCTGTCTTTGTTAGGGAGCTCCACTGAAATCTGTCCATCACGTTGGCAACACCCAAACCAGCACTTAATTTTCTCTTGTCTGAACTTGTGCCGTGTTTTCATGTACTTGAGATGTTCCCTCCTCCTTTTGGAAGCATCCCATAATAATGGTCGAAAGACTAATCTTAAAGTAAGTGGTCAGGTCTTGTACCTCTAGGCTGTATTGTTTCTTACATAGTAATTCCTTTTTTTTCCTCCCTGAAGTTTTTGTATATAAACAAATTGCACAATTCAATAGTTCAGACATACTAAGAGTTTTAGAGTCATCACCACAATCAATTATAAAACATTTTCTTGTTTTCATACTTATATTATTCACTCGCTCTCCTCCCCTGCCATACACTTAAGAGATCATTAATCTCTAGATTTACCTATCCTGGATTTCATATACAGAAAAACATTTTAAAAAAACTAACGATAACAAAGTAAAACAGAAAAATGTCAATCAAAAAGAAAGCTGAAAATATTAAAAATCAGAAAATTTTAAATGCGTCAAAAGGTAGATCAAATGATAAGGTGTTAAATTTTAACCTAACTGTATCTGTAATAATCCACTTTCCAGTGCATTCTGCATGATAACAAGGCTAGTCACATCCTTGGTCTACTGGCAGAGAGGATTCACCCGAGACTTTTTTTTTCCCACCCAAGACTTAATGCACATGTATTTCCCTTCACTTTTTTTTTTAAAGTGAAACAACTTTTACATATGTCAAAAGAGAAATCGATACATATGAATTCTTAAATAGGTAATTTAACCTCTTGATACTCAATTAGCTTATCCCTGTCTAGAGAGCTGTCATACTTCAGAAAGTTGTTTTAGAATATTAGTGTATTCTTGTATTGAACAGCGCTGTACAGATATGAAAATTTTACACTTTAATTAGTTTTAAATTGGTTTGTGAATAATTTCATAGTTACTTTTGCATATAGTTCTAGATTATTGTAAATGGGCGATAAATGTGAAATTATCCTAATTATAATCACAGGTAGTTTATCACTGTATTAATTTCACATAGGGCCAACTTGTTTCACCTGTACTTTATGGTCTTACGTAAGAACTTTTTTGTGAGCAGCCATCTTCTCCAGGTGGGTGCTAATCATTGGTATATTTTGTTTCTTTAACCTCACTGCTCCATTTACCTTCTTGCTGTAATTGTAACATTCCTTTTCCTGCAGTTCTTTTTAACTTATGGAAAATAACCAACAAAAAGGTCAGACAATACTATAATGAACTTTACTCTTTTAAATTGAAATTTAATTTCAATAATTATCAACAAAAAGACAGTTTTGTTTCATCTATACCCCAACTTCTCTGTCTTGTTCACTGGGTTATTTGGAAGTAAATTCGAAGTTATATAATTTAACTGTAAAGATTTCAGTATCTCTGAAACAGTGGTTCGAAACCTTCCCAATGCCATGATCCTGTAATACAGTTCCTCATGTTTTGGTGACCCCAACCATGAAATTATTTTCATTGCTATTTCATAACTGTAATTTTGCTACTGTTATGAATTGGGCAACCCTTGTGAAAGTGTCGTTTGACCTCCCAAAGGGGCCTCGACCCACAGGTTGAAAACCGCTGCTCTAAAAGAAAAAAACCTTACCCACCAAAAAAGAACAAGACCATAAAGCCCATTATCATGTCTTAATTAGAATTCTAAGGAATCATCTGATATGATCAAATCCTCCTGGAGTTTTTTGTTGTGGAATTTTTAAATCCAGAGGGAAGTTTAAGAATAAAACCATAAACATTTTGTGTGCTTGTCACCAAGGTTAGGTGCCTCCCTCACTAGCATTTTTTTTAAATCATTTTATTGGGGGCTCGTACAACTCTTATCACAATACATACATACATACATTGTGTCAAGCACATTTGTACATTTGTTGCCATCATCATTCTCAAAACACTTGCTTTCTACTTGAGCCCTTGGTATCAGCAACTCATTTTTTCCCCTCCCTCCCTCATGAACCCTTGGTAATTTATAAATTATTGTTATTTTGTCATGTCTTACACTATCTGATGTCTCCTTTCACCCACTTTTCTGTTGTCCGTCCCCCAGGGAGGGGGTTATATGTAGATCCTTTTGATTGGTTCTCCCTTTCTACCCCACCTTCCCATCTCTTCCTGGTATCGCTACTCTCATTATTGGTCCTGAGGGGTTTATCTGTCTTGGATTCCCTATGTTTCCAGTTCTTATCTGTACCAGTGGTCTAGCCAGATTAGTAAGGTAGAATTGGGATCATGATGAGGGGGCGGGGGGCCATTAAAGAACTAGAGGAAAGTTGTATGTTTCATCGTTGCTATACTGCACCCTGACTGGCTTGTCTCCTCCCCAAGACCTTTCTGTAAGGGGGTGTCCAGCTGCCTTCAGATGGGCTTCCTCACTAGCATTTTATCACATTTCCTTATATGTGTATGTGTAGCTGTGCAGCAATCATCTCAGAATGAGTGCCATAGAGAAAGAATGACTAAATTCTTTGGATTTACTGGTCTGAGCTGGTGGTGACACTTCTGTGTCATGTGGGTTGGGGGTTGGGCTGCAGTGTCCAAAATGACTCATTTTAGAACCTCAGATACTGATGAAACAACCAAATTCGAATCTCTGTCTTCAGTCTCTCACCTGAGCTTAGGCTCACGTGTGTATATAGAGAGAATGATAAAGATACAGACATGTATGTGAAATCTCCTATTTGGCTGTCTAGTTTTCATTTTCCTTTAACATCACACCTTTTGGTCCGTCATTAAGTCCAGTCAGCCGTGCCTCCTGAATCTAACCATTTATTAACATTTTCACAGTTGCATCTCTTAGCTAACCTTCCACCTTTCACTTGCACCACTGCAGCTGATTCCTAGCCAACACCTATTCCTAGCCCACACCTCTTTTGCCCCTCTACAAATTTGTTTTGTGAATAAAACAAATTTATCTAAAGCATAAGTCATTGTGTTACTCTCCTGCATAAGACTCTTTTTGTTATACTGTTTTACACTTAAATTTAAAATAAATATACAAAAATTCAAGCCACTTACCCTGACCTGTCTCCTCTCTGTTGTCTTTCTACTGCCTCGGCCAGCGATGCTGGTGTTAAGGGAAAGTGGAAGAGATGAGAGTTATCCAGTCTCTAGTTTTTGTCTGGCCTTAAGCCATGTTAAAGAGCTCATACTTGTATTTCAGTAGCACTGGGGAGTTATTCAGTAATTGTAAGCAAATATTTGATAAAATATTTGAAAACAGATCATCCCGACTGCATTGTTGAACATAAATTCAAGAAGTACCAAAAATAACCTTATGAGAACCATTAGGATGTTCTTGTTTTCAGGCCAAAAGTTAATGGTGCCCTAAACCAAGGTTCTATTATGGAAAAGAAAAGCTGATGGATTTCAGAGATATTTAAATCCATCTGATGTGAGGGCTGAATGAGAGAGAAATGAAATGACCTCCAGGTTTCTGTCTTAAAAAACAAGTTGATAGCGATCAGTGACAGTGTTGCTAAATAGAGAAAGGGATAGTTTATATATTTGGTATAAGAATACATTGAGTTTTAACATGGGAATATCTTTTTTTTAATCATTTTATTAGGGGCTCATACAACTCTTATCACAATCCATACACACACCAATTGTGTGAAACTCATTTGTACATTCATTGCCCTCATCATTTTCAAAACATTTG